CCAGCTCCTCCACCCTGGCAGCTCTTGGGAGAAGAGGACTTGAGCCAGAGGTGACATGTGCTGCTAAAGCCCAGCTGGGGGGCAGAGGGTACTGCTGAGAGACCTCATGCCTCTTTGATACCAATGATGCTATTGGGATGAACAAGGAATAACTCAGTACCTCAAAAGGTTGCTCCTCGTAGCTCTTACAGCTGAGCCCAGTCACTTCTCTTTATCTGCTGCCTCTGGGGTGACCTGGAGCTTCCTCAGTGCTGTCAAACATGAGAAGAGCTTGAGGGGCTGTGCGGAGAGGATGGAGATGAGCGACCCACCACAACCATGAGCAGTTAACTCTGTGGGCCTCGTGTCTCCACTGCCTCTTTCTAGAAGATACCTCAGTGACTGGACCCAGTTCAGAAGGAGGGAGGGAAGGAGCAGCATAACCAAAGCGTTTCACTCCACACAAACCTGTTTGAATTAGCACGGCTCGTGTCTATAAAACAAGTCCTTCCCCATGTGCCTCCTTGGGTTTTATTTGCCTGTTCATCCTGCAGCTCCTGCCTCTTTTTCACTGTGTCCCATAATCCCCATTGCTCTGACTTCTTGTTTGAACGGTGTGGGTTTCTTGGGGAAGTTGCTCCATTGCTCTGGGAGCTGTGGAGGCGGTCACCCAGGCTGCTGCTGCCTCCACTTGCTCTGCTGTTTGGTTCCTACTCTCTTGTTGATGGATTTATCCTGCTCCCAGGGCCCTGCACAGTGGCTTCTGGACCACAGAAGGAAGCAACAGCTTGGGAAAAGTGGCATCCGCGGGTGCTGAGCTCCTTCTGCTGGGGAGGAGCAGCTCCATCTCACACTGCAAGCAAGAGGAGAATCAAGTAACACTTGTAGGCCCTTCAAGGAAAACTAACGCAGCTTGTCCTTTTACAAGGGCCTGTAGGGACAGGACAAAGGGAATGGCTTGAAACAGCCAGAGGGGAGACTGAGATGAGCTCTTAGGCAGAAGCTCTTCCCTGTGAGGGTGCTGAGGCGCTGGCACAGGGTGCCCAGAGAAGCTGTGGCTGCCCCATCCCTGGCAGTGCTTAAGGCCAGGTTGGACACAGGGGCTTGGAGCAAGCTGCTCCAGTGGAAGGGGTCCCTGCCCGTGGCAGGGGTTGGAGCTGGAGGAGCTTTAAGGTCCCTTCAACCCAAACCAGTCTTGTAGGTAGTTAGGGTCTGGCGATTGGAAGATGTCTTCCACTTGTCCCACTCCCACAAACACAGGACACCACGAGGAAACAGAGAGCCAGCTTGCTCTTGCTGCATGGCAGGCACAATCATGTAGCAATATTCCCTTGGGAACACCAGAAGCCCACAGGATAAGCAGATTAAGAAACCTTGCCCTGGTTGTGAGCCACAACAGCTGCCTGGTGCTCACCTGCAGTTTAGAGTGATGGTACAACCAGCGCAGAGCTGCAGAGGTTAGGCTTGGTGCATTAGAGCCATAAGCATCTTTCAGAGCTCTTTCTACTATTTCAATGCCTTCAAAATGGTGCTTTTTCCAGCACCTGCAAGAAAAAAAACAACAAAATCACTCTTACTCCCCTCAGGATCTAAAGTGACTGGTACATCTAGATTCCCATCTAGTACAAGAGGCTTTCAGGAAGCCTCATGCAACTCTTTGTAGCCTCCAAGGACTTCTACAATCCCCAGCTCTAAGCCTGGAGGAAGCTGAACCTAAAAACACTCTGTGAAGCTCAGTCACAAGCTATAGCCCCAACCACATGCACAGACACAAGCTTTGGCCAGTTCTTCCTCCTCTTAGCTGATTACTACTGCATTTCTATGCAATCATTCCTGCCCCATCTCTCTGCTCATCTGTCAGCTCAAAACATACCTGTCCCTGTAAGCTTGAGCCCAGTCATTCCCAAAAAATGTTCCCGTGGGCTGACGTGTGTCTTTGTCCTCATACTTGTATTTGCCAGTCAACAGCCCTCCTGCAAAGGGTCAGCAGCACGTCTGGGGATGAGCTGGCTCTTCTACAGCCCCTGTTTTGCACAGGCTTGGTTTCCAAGTCTCACTTCCCTCCCCGTACCTGCAAGTGGGTTGTAGGCGTAGAACCGCAGCCCGTAGTGTCTCAGGCAAGGGAAGAGCTCAGCTTCCACCTGGCGAGTGGTCTCATTGTACATGCCCTGCAAGAGGATGAGGGAGACAAAGAACTGCAAACACCAGCTCAGGGCAGTGGGCACCTGAACAGCCTTTTCCCCACCCTTCCCTGACAGCACCCTTACAGCTCCGGGTCACACAAGGTTATTCTCTGCTTAGCAACAGACTTCCTGAAGTCATTGATTTTTAAGTTCCACATGAAGGGAGTCACTGACTCGGGGAACAAATGCAGACTCAGCTTTCTAATCACACGTGTCCTGCCAGGACCTCCCAGGCTGACTCCCACAGCTTCCTCTGCTCTGTTATCTGGGAGCTGGTCCAAGACCTGGGAGCCACAGACACTTCCCCACAGTAGCTGTCCATTGCTGTAAGGACACTGAGAACCATTTCTACGCTGTTCTGAGCTGAACCTTTGTATTCCTCTGGTTGGATCCATCTCAGCCTCCACAAAAGATGTGCCAGGCCATGGCCAGCCCCAACCCCTCACCTGGTACACAGTTGGCATCACCCAGTTGTTGTATTTGCAGATGGTGCAGATTTCTGCTACCTCCCATGCCGCATAGTTGGATAGACCAAGCTCCTTAAACTTCCCCTGCAGAGGAGTAAAAGGCATATTCAGGTCCAGGTTTTAGAAGTGCATTTGTACCCAGCCAGTGCAAGGTAACAGTGAAATGAACAGGCACCAAATTTTAGCCCAGAGTTCCCTGCTCATCCGTGTCCACCTCTGCCATGAATTATAAGACCCAACAGAAATATTTCCTGTTCATTCTGAACTCACACCTTCTAATTTAATTGCCACCATTGGACTAACGCCATTCAGGAATTGTTCTTTCAGCCATTACCAGCACTAATCTTACCCTAGTCAGTTAGCACTGAAAGCAAAGTCCAGATGGTCTCATGGTTCCAAGAGCTCTTGGGCACAAAGTGCACCCCATGAGCACACAATGGAGTGTTAGTCAGGGCTCCGCCCTGGCCATTCTGTGTCCCCTCCTCCTGGTGTTATGCAGCCCAGTGCTGAAGAAGAGCCCAAAAGCAGCTCTGCTTTATGAAAGGTAAAGAGAGGGAGGGAACCCAGAGACGGTCCAGGCTTGCTCTTCCCACTTTACCTCTTTGTGCAGCTCATTGCAGGCACGTAGTGTCTCCTCCACTGGGGTCCCGTGGTCGGGGGCATGGAGGTAGAAAAGCTCCACTCTCGTCCTCTTCAGCCTCTCCAGGGATGTGTTCAGCTGTGACCGCACGCTCTCGGGCTTCAGCGTCTTCCCATCCCAGGGGTTGGCCTTGGTGGCGATTTGCACTGGCAGAGAGACAGGCAGAATGAGCAGGGATGGCTCCAGCGTCAGCAAAGGGCTAAGGGGCACAGCGCAAGCAGTGCCTGGGGTGTTTCAGGGGATGCGTCTCTCCTCAGGAGCCACATCAGCCGCTCGCGGGGGGGCTCTCCTCAGGGACTGCAGGGCTGCCCTAGAGGAAGGCCCTTCTCAAGGCACAGAGAGCAGGGGAATCCCTTCCTTTCCTTCAGGGATGGCATCAGGGAACAGGTCCAGGGGAAGTCCCTTCTCCTCGGGAATGGTGCCAGCCTAGTGGAGGAGACCCCTACCCCCATGGAACAGGTCCAGGAGTACTCCCTTCTCCCCAGGGTCGGTGCCAGCCTGTCACGGAAGCCCCTTCTCCTCAGAGCCCTCTCCCTCCAGCCCCACTAAGCCCACCCCCGCCGTACCGGGCTCGGTGCCTGCAGCCAGCAGCGCGCCCAGGATCTTCTCCGACTCTCCCCCCGCGTACATGTACGCGGTGTCGAGCAGGCGGTACCCGCGGCGCAGGAAGGCCCGGAGCAGCGCGGCGCTGGCCTCCGGCCCTGCCCGCCGCCCCATCTCCATGGCGCCCAGCACAACCGCCGGCCGCGCTCCGCCCGCCGCCATCGCTGCCGGAACACCGCGCATGCGAGGGGAGCGCCCAGCCCGCCGGCACATGCGCGGTGCTGAGGGGAGCGCTCAAATCCCGGCTGGGTTTGGGGCGAAAAACACCCGATTAGGGCAAAATTAGGGTTGTGGGATAGCAGCGGCTGCCTGGGGAAGCAGCGGGAGTGGGAGGGCACCAGCAGGTTCTGATAAAAGTGGTGGGGTTGTAAAAAATTACCTCACGAAGCAGCTGGCTGGGAAGCAAAGCGGGTTCCTGAGCGCAGCTGAGGGACCGGCGGTGTGGAGGGAGCTTGCGGGAGGAGGAACAGCAAAACCCGGGGGTTTCTGAGGAGGAATAAAGGCGGTTCCCAAAGGGCCGCCGTGGAGCGAGGTGAAGCCCTGTCCCGCAGGGAACAGCCCTTTGGGGCTCAGGCTTGGCGGGTGGTGGCATTCCCGGTCGGGCATCCCACTGGACCCAAATGAAGGCCAGTAAAGGAGAGGGGTGAATCCCTGTTCCATAGCGGTTCAGTTCTTTGAGGGCAAATCCCGCTGGGTGATGGCATTCCTGGCTGCTTATCCCCCTGGATCCAAAGTTAAAGCTAGTCATGAGGTTTTTGCAAGGCTTTTGGAGGAGCTCCAAGCCTCTTCCTAATAGAGCTCTATTTTCCCCCAGCGGTATTAACTTTTCCCTATATTTTTCCCATGTTTTTCTCACGTTCCCATGTTTTCCCCCAGCGGTATTAACTTTTCCCTATGTTTTTCCCATGTTTTTCTCACGTTCCCATGTTTTCCCCCAGCGTTATCCCACCTGACCAACACCTGAGCACCGGAGGCCATGAATCTGTGGCACTGGAGGCTTCTCCAGCTCGGGAACCTTTCTGACTGTCCGAACGGCTCCCGCTGGGTGATGGATGTGTTCAATGAGTGTGCCCAGGACGGCTGGGACATTGCCAGTATCGTCCTGGGGCTGGTTTCCATCTTCTGCTTTGCAGCCGCCTCCGTCCCGTAAGCATCGCTCCCAAACCCCTTCCTGTGGGATAACGCTCCTCTCCTCAATCCAGCTTCAGGCTCCAGCTGCCTGAGTTATTAACTTTCCCCAGCAAAAGCAATCAGGGCTTGGAAAACCAGGGTTTAAGGGGTGCAGAGGTAGCCGGGAGCGAAGCCCCGAAGCCTTGGTTGTTGTTGTATTGCTAATACCATGCTTAGCAGCTGTTATTACCCACGTAAGCCAACTGCAATGCAGTCCTTGCAGGTCATGAGTGTGGGTGAAGTGTTTCCAGGGGCCCTGGGCTTCTTGGAAGTGCTGGGACAGCTGCGGCAGGGAGGCCGTGGTGGGTCTTGGGTGTATCATCAGGTTATTTCAGCACCAGAGAGGCGCTTTCTGCAACTGGTGCTTCTCTTCGCTGCTTTCTACCCCTGCATGAGGGATGGATCACAAGGGCTTGAGCCCAGTGTACTGATGCCAGTGGGTCCCAGGACTTCTCACAGGGGTTGGCTTGCAGTGGGACTGCCTTAGGTACAGGAAATCTCTACTTCCCCGCTCCTGGTGCCGAGTGCTTTGCAATTGCAAAGTGATCCAGGTGGGAGCAACAGGGCATCCTGGGGATGACTCCCAGGTAGCGCTGAGCCATACAGGGGTTATGGCTTGTGTCTCTGCAGGCAGTTTTACCAAGCCTGCAAAACAGGCATCATGGACCGGGCTCTCTCCATGTATTTCCTGCTGGGATGGCTGGGCGGAGACCTCCTAAACCTCATTGGTTCCTTTCTGGCTCATCAGTTACCTCTGCAGGTACTAGCTGAATTGCTGGGGTTGGGTTGGCTCTCAGGCACCCTGAACTGCAGGGAGGAGGGATGGGTGCCGCTTAACCCAACACCAGAGACCCAAACAGCCCCAGGATGCTCCCTGTCCTTCTCCTGGGGGTACTTCCTTCTCCTCCTGGGATGCTGGCTCATCTCAGCCATTACCTGGAAGCCTTTCTGTGGGTAGAACCAACCCATCCTTCTCCCTGTAGGTTTACGCAGCTATTTACTATGTGCTCGCAGACCTGGTAATGCTGGCTCTCTACTGCTACTACAAAGCGAAGAACCAGGGTGGAGGATGTGAGTTGGGGTTATGAGGGTGGTGGGGCTGCCTTTTGGGCTGGCTTGTGCCTTGGCTGTGGATCCAGGACGGGAGGAAGCCCTGAGGAGATGTGTTGGGCAGAGATGCTTTGCAGATGCATTGATACTGCTTACTGCTTGCTGGTCTTTTTAAACTCCAACATAAAACTCTTTGTAGGGGTTCTTGTTGCCTCTTCTTGAAATTTCATCATTATATTCTACCTGGGATGATTCAAGAGTAGTCAGGATGGAAAAATGGGATAATAACCAGGGATCCCTGAGAGAGGAAATGGTATTGCTGCTCCTGAAACCCAGCATTTCCCCCTGCTGATCCTACGCCTGCCTCTGGCTTCCGCAGTGCAGAACACACAAATCTAAACATGTGAGCACAGTATCTTGGAAGCCTCTGCACATGTTCCTCCTTCCTACAGTAATTCTTAAGGCAATTTTGCCTTAGTAGCCATAACAGGCTCTTCAGGGTCATGGCACCAAGCCCACCAGGGTTCAAGGAGCATGTGGACAATGCTCTTGGTCATATGGCTTGGTTTTAGGTAGTTCTGCCAGGAGCAGGGAGTTGGACTCAATGATTCTTGGGGTCTCTTCCAGCTTGAGAGATTCTATGCTAACCTGAGCACCTATGAGAGCCAAAGCCTGCAAACAGCTACCAGCCATGCCTGGGGCTTCTGCAAACAGCCATGCACAGTATCTGGGTGGAAAATAACCCCCCTGGGAGTTGGGTTAAGTACAGAAAGACATTCGGGGGTCAGTGCTCCTAACAATTAATGGCAGGCTTGATGTGATGGAGAAGTTCCTCCCTGTTCAAATGGAGTAAAAAGGGAACCTGGACTGTTCTTGCAAGGCTTGAACAGCAAGAGAAAACCCACTTTCTAGCATTGCAGTTATCTGACTACAACAGGCATCCCTGGGACCCCGATAAATAGTTAACTTACTAAAGCCATTAACTTACTAAGCCAGTTGGTATTTGGCTCATCAGCTGTCTCACTTTGTTAATGCTGGAGAGCTTCTTGACAGAATACAATCCAAGTCTTGATGTTGAGGCTTGGTCTGGCAGGGATTTGAACATACGCTGTGGTGAGTTAAGCCTGTGAAAAGCTTCTAGATGGAGGAGATGATTTTTGAAGAGGCCTAAGCACAAAGAAGCTCGAGTGCCTGCTGAGATAGGAGTAGTTTCCTCCTTGATAACTTACCAATTGCCTGTATCGCTGTGAGATAAAGTGCCCACAGCAGGTATTGGCGCTGGCTCTGCCACCGCAGAGATAACAGAGAGCTTGAAGGGCTCTCAGAGGGAGCCCTGGCACCCACCACAGCTGCTGGGCTGCACTGGGGGCTGGGAGAGGAGCTCCCCTGACTAGCCTCTGCTTGATCCCCTGCAGTCACTGCCCAGATCAACGCAGCCTTCCTCTTCCTTTCCCTGGGGACACTGTCGACTGTCTCCTTCCTGGGCAGAGGTGCTGCCGTGACACAGGACCCAGTGGTGTTCAAAGGAAGGTCCCTGCTCTCCACTCATGTGGGTGAGCTGGTGCCAAAGGTGACCTGAGTCCTAAAGCTGGGTGATGGCGGGGGGAAGAAGATAAAGCTCTGGTGGGGTGGGCACATCCTGCTGGACCAGTACATCCTGCTTGGTGGGGAGATCAAGGGCTGGGTTTGGCCATGCCAGGGCCTGGCACAGAGCTGTGGCGAGCACATCTCTGAGAACATGGGGCTGCTCAATGCCCCCCTTTGCCTTGCAGCCTTTCACCAAGAGCGAGATCATTGGCTTCATCATTGGCTCTGTCTCCTCTGTGCTGTACCTGTGCTCTCGAGTCCCCCAGATCTACACAAATGTAAGTGGTAGGAGAGGTCCCGAGGTGTCAGATGGAAATGACAGTGGGATCACCTTTCTCCTCGTTGCTCAGAGGTCCCATCTCTGATCACTTCATAAGGGACTATTTTTCTGCATTTCTGTTCCAAAACATGATTATTTTTTCTCCCTTCCCATTAACATAGTATTTTCAGGGCGGTGTTCTCACTTTGTCTTAATTTATAAGCAAAGGGGGGGAACTAAAAGGCTCTTGGTATTGAGTCACCATCTTTTTTCTTCTCTTTTTTGGGGGGGGAAGGGTGATTCATACTGCTTCCTAGTGAGATTTCAGAGCTGCACCCAAGCTCCTTTCTCTGGCCTCTCTTCTTGCAGTACAAGAGGAAATCCACCATCGGAATGTCCTACTCCCTCTTTGCCCTGGTGATGCTGGGGAACTTGCTCTACGGCCTCAGTGTCCTCCTGAAGAACCCTGAGCCAGGGCAAAGTGAAGGGGACTACATCCTGCACCACCTCCCCTGGCTGGTGGGCACCCTGGGTGCCATTTTCCTTGACATGGTTGTATCCTTTCCCCGGCCAATGCTTTCCTCCTGGATCCAGTCCCACCTTGGGGCAGGCAGGGCTGGGCAGCAGTGGGTGGGACTGATACTCATCAGTGATTGCTGTGAGCTGTGCCAGTGAGTAATTCATGGTTTTGCAACAGCTGAATGCTTGTGTGCACTAAGCTCACCCTGTTGCCATCTCCTGGCACAACCAGCCTTTTTCCAGGTGGTGAGACCCAATGCATCCATAGATCCACCCTTGCTTGTGGGAAGCCTTAACTTCTTCTCAGATCTCCTTCCAGTTCCTTGCTTATCGGGGAGGAAAACTTGGCACCCCTGAAGAGAGGGGCGCTCTTCTCGGCGAGCAGGACAGCGTGGAGAGCTGACAGAGGGACCTGTCCGGAATAACTCAGTACCTCAGAAGGTTGCTCCTCGTAGCTCATACAGCTGAGCCCAGTCACTTCTCTTTATCTGCTGCCTCTGGGGTGATCTGGAGCTTCCTCAGTGCTGTCAAACATGAGAAGAGCTTGAGGGGCTGTGTGGAGAGGATGGAGATGAGCGACCCACCACAACCATGAGCAGTTAACTCTGTGGGCCTCGTGTCTCCACTGCCTCTTTCTAGAAGATACCTCAGTGACTGGACCCAGTTCAGAAGGAGGGAGGGAAGGAGCAGCATAACCAAAGTGTTGCACTCCACACGTGTTTGAATTAGCACGGCTCATGTCTATAAAACAAGTCCTTGCCCATGTGCCTCCTTGGGTTTTATTTGCCTGTTCATCTGGCAGCTCCTGCCTCTTTTTCACTGTGTCCCATAATCCCCATTGCTCTGACTTCTCACTTGAACGGTGTGGGTTTCTTGGGGAAGTTGCTCCATTGCTCTGGGAGCTGTGGAGGCGGTCACCCAGGCTGCTGCTGCCTCCACTTGCTCTGCTTTTTGGTTCCTACTCTCTTGTTGATGGATTTATCCTGCTCCCAGGGCCCTGCACAGTGGCTTCTGGACAACAGAAGGAAGCAACAGCTTGGGAAAAGTGGCACCCGTGGGTGCTGAGCTCCTTCTGCTGGGGAGGAGCAGCTCCATCTCACAGGGCAAGCAAGAGGAGAATCAAATAACACTTGTAGGCCCTTCAAGGAAAACTAACGCAGCTTGTCCTTTTACAAGGGCCTGTAGGGACAGGACAAAGGGAATGGCTTGAACCTGCCCGAGGGGAGACTGAGCTGAGCTCTTAGGCAGAAGCTCTTCCCTGTGAGGGTGCTGAGGCGCTGGCACAGGGGGCCCAGAGAAGCTGTGGCTGCCCCATCCCTGGCAGTGTTCAAGGCCAGGTTGGACACAGGGGCTTGGAGCAAGCTGCTCCAGTGGAAGGGGTCCCTGCCTGTGGCAGGGGTTGGAGCTGGAGGAGCTTTAAGGTCCCTTCAGCCCAAACCAGCCTTGTAGGTAGTTAGGGTCTGGTGGTCGGAAGATGTCGCGCTGTACGGAAAGATAAGACCCCCCTCCGAGTAGCCAATAGGGCCTAGCCTAGGTCGTAAGCAGACGGACGTGACGTAAACCCAGGCTATATAACGCCGTGTTACTCGCCAATAAACGCCATTTGCCATCCACCACATTGGTGTCCATGTGCTGATGGCCCGAGCAGCCTGGGGTTGGTCGCTGTGCCGTTCCTGAACCAGGTCGCCACGCCAAGGAAGGCAACAAGTGGTGCCGAAAGGCGGGAATCGTCTGGACAGGTGAATGGCGGCCGGAGCGGCTGGACCAGCCCGGTGGGGAGGACACTCCCGGACCAACAAGGAGGATGGAAGCCCTTGTGAAGCTCGTATCTGTTACACAAGCAGTGGGGTATTGATTGTAAGCCCAAAGATTTTACTCTCGCAGTTGCAAAGCTTTTACAAACTGGGGTCATTGACCAGCCAGTGGATATTCTCCACCCTGAGGCGTGGGATAAATGCATTAAAGCGTTGCTCGAGGAGACAATGTCCTTGGGTTGTGGGAAGTACCTTAAGTTGTGGGGGAAAGTCGTACAGGCCCTGCAGAAGGCTATACAAGAGCAGGAGACCTGGAAGGCAGCAAAGAACTGTTTGTGGGCTACCCCGAAATTGGGAGTCGGGGCAGCTACACAAACTCTGCACCCCCAGACGCTGCCGGCTCTACCGAGCCTAAAGATATGCAGAAAGGCGACACGCCTCCCCAATCCCTGAATCCCGACCCGCCTACGGAGGGACAGGAACGAGCAAAATCCTTTTGGGGAGGGTTGGTCCAGGGAAGCCAGGGGCGCCGCGGAGAAGGAGTCCGAGGCAATTGGGGTCAGAGCACAGCCCTATGAGCCCCAGAATGGCGCCGAGCGGAGAGAAGGAGGGCGGGGCGAAGATGTCCCCGGCGGGAACAGGGGGGAAGTGCTAGAACTGACAAGAGCGCGTAAAGGGGGGGGGGGGGAGAATGAGGAGAACCGAAAGGGGGAGGGACGCGCGAGCGAGGGGCGGAAAGCCAATCAGAGGGCGGGGCGAACCAGGAGGGCGGGGCGAGCCCAGAGGGAGGGAACGGCCCGCCCACAACAAAAGCGGGCGAGGTCGGAGCCCGACGAAAAGGCGCGGGAAACCTGAGGTAACCGGTCAGTCGGCTTCCGAGTCGGACTCAGACACCGGCTGGGGCGAGTGGCTCGCAACCGATTCAAACTCAGAGGAGGAGGAAACGGAGGTTAACAAAGTCAAGAGCCAAAGCATTCCCATGCGGACTAAAGAGGAACGGCGAGGGGAAGAAGTCCCTCTCACGGACTGGAAGGAAATAAAGATTGCGTGTGCCGACTGGGCCCCATCAGTCAAACTAGCATTCCTGATCGGGTGACAGACGGGGGACAGAGGGTGCGCTCGCCAATAAACCCTAAGGATGTACAAGCAATTGTTAAGGCAGTTGTGGATAAAGGGCTTAATTCTGCCATGGTCTCCACCCTCATAGATGGTGTTTTTGGAAGAGACCATATGCTCCCGTTCGATATAAAACAGGAATGGAGATGGGGATGGGAACAACGATAGAGGCTAGGCCTTACAGGGCGAGGGTATGCTGCTGTTAGAAAAAATGGCAGAGTTAGGTGGTGCCCACTTAAATCCATTAAACCAGACCTCCAGAATAAAACTAATGAAAATTGTGAGTTTCTGTTCACAGAATTAGATCATCAAACACCCTCGTAACTCGTATGCCCCGGTGACAAGAGAGGAGAAGCCACCAACCATCCCGTCCGCACCCGGGAGCTCCACACCAGCAGACCCCGAGCAACAGCGAAATAGCCCCCAAGGGGGGGGGGGGGGGGCACGATGCCTTTGTCTGATTTTGATTTGGGGGTTTGTTACTATAGGGCAAGTAGAATGATCGTGCTGGTATTACTCTTCGGACCCTGTATATTGAACCGCCTTGTGTCATTTGTGAAGAGCCGGCTAGAGCAGGTTAACAGCATGTTTGTAGAAAGCCACCAACTACTTTAAGAATGTATTTACTCAGTATTACCCCAAACTTACAACCCGTCCCTTTAATTACCCCTCACTAACCACTTACCCGAAGCCATTAACCACTAACCTGAAGTGCCTCATGCTGTAACATTTTTTATATGTATATGTGTACCCTTTTCTACTTTTCTACTTTTTTACTTTTTATATTAGCCTAGTTAATTAAGCATGGGGGGGGGGGAAATGTAGGTAGTTAGGGTCTGGCGGTCGGAAGATGTCGCGCTGTACGGAAAGATAAGACCCCCCTCCGAGTAGCCAATAGGGCCTAGCCTAGGACATAAGCACAGGGACGTGATGTTGTAAACCCAGGCTATGTAACACCGTGTTACTCGCCAATAACCGCCATTTGCCATCCACCACATTGGTGTCCGTGAGCTGATGGCCCGAGCGGCCTGGGATTGGTCGCCGTGCCATTCCTGAACCAGGTCGGCATGCCAACGAAGGCAACACAGTCTGGGATCTTACTAACTTGTCCTTTTAAAACCAAGAACTCCCCTCTCCCTGCAGTCACCATTAACTCTATTTTCATTCCCTTTTTCTCCACTTACACACTACCCAGCACTTCCCTGTCCCCGTTCAGCATTAGCTGCCTCATCGTCCACTTACAATGCCAGTCCCGAGACACTTGTCCTTCTCGAGGAAGTAGCTTCCTCCCTGCTTCACCCTCACACGGAGGCAGCAGAGCCACAGCTCTGAGCCTGCAGAGCACAGCCTGGATCAAGTGTGGAATGGGAGTCCCAATGCCCATCAAAGTGCACCAGCAGGTTAATTCAGACACTCCTGTGCCCATCTCTGGAGCTGCCAATTTGGTTTTGGAAAGAAAAGATATTTTTCAGCCTCTCTGAGCCCCGTGAACAAAGTAGGTGGGTTTTCCACAGCATTAATCCATGATTCTCCCCTCCAGGCTTGCTGGAGCTGCTCCGCTCTTCCCCATCTCTGAGCCAGCAAGATTTCCTCTGCCGTCCTTCCCTAGGAATTGCAGCAGAACAGCCTGCATCCAGCCCTAACACAAACCAGGAGCAGATTCCAAGCAAGGCAGAGACCACAGCTTCATTAGACCTCAATTCCTGGTCATCACAAAGACCCTAGGGCTTGCCTTTATCCAAGGAGGGGTTTTAGCCTTGGCTCTGGAATGCTGGGGAGGGTCTGGCTCAAACAAAGAGCCACATTTCTGCTGCTCACAACACTGAATAACTGCCCTGCTTCACCAAGGTTTTTCTTAGTCCTGGACAAGGATGTTCGAACATAAGAGGTGTGTGTATATATACATATATATATATATATATATATATATATATATATATATAAACACCTCCCCCCAGTTTGTTCCCAGAGGTGCATCCAAAGCACAGGTTAAGGACAAAGCTGATTTCCTGTTTCTTTCCCTCAGGCTGGGGAACATGGCACGAGGTGGGTGGCTGCAGCTACACAGGGCAGGGGAGTTAATGCCCCGGTAGCCATCGAGGTAGTGGTGAGTGGAAACTGGTGTCACAAGGAGCCTCTGGCTGAGGTTCCCCTCCCTCTGAGGCTGTAACAGAGCCCAGTCCCGCACAGAGCTGGGACCTGCAGGTTCTGCAGAGAGAAGCGTTAGACAAGAGGAGGCACAAACCATCAGTGGCTTTGAGAAGAGAAAGGAAAAATGCCCCATCCCCAGCAGCACCAAGGCTGGACAGGGCTTGGAGCAACCTGACCTGTGTGAGCTGTGCTGCAGAGCAGAGGCCCCTGAGTGAACACTCCATAACCCCTGCGGACATGTGCATGCGCAACGGGTTGCACTGGAAAAGCAACCTTAGAGCACGTTAATCAACAGTAACGCCAGGTCTCACTTTGCACAGGTTCACCCAGAGGCAAACTCCACTGTTCCCCATGCAGGAACAGCCCCGCAGGTATTTGCTTCCTCCGGTTC